AAGTTCCTCAGCAGCAACCCAGGTTAGGGTTTAAGTAAACTTCCTGGGCTGCTGCTTGAAACTGATTTTGCAGCAGTAGCTCCAAGCGTTTTATGACATAGCCGGCGGCACGGGCGTGAAGTAGGAGGCGTGATGCGCCAAAGAAGCCGTTCCTTGAAAATGACAATGGGAATTCTACTGTATTCCCCATTGAGTTCTATAGGGCCTGTGGTGTATGGGCGTAAAGTTGAGAACCGCGCAGACATCTTGCATGGAGATCTGCCCAGCACATGTTCGTTTGCTTCATGATGGTGAAAGGGGTCCCCGCAACATGCACAGGGCGTGGCATTCTGAAACGTACCTCCTAGCTTGGGGCAAAAAAGACAAGGTACTTACACTAAAACCACCAGGGTCACGAAGGCAACCGCAGTGTCATCCAGCTTAAAAATCGGAGGACGCATTTGTGAGTAGGCGTGCTGCTGCCCACGCTTCACCCCTATGTATTCTAGTCCCAGTGTCCATTCCATTTCCCTTTCAGTTTCCATTTGATTCTCCATTATTGAAGTAGACCCTTGATGGCCTTCAATATAAGCCTGCATTTCTACCTGGGCATGGTCCGAGCGTCAGAATACTCAGCATCAACGGTGTTGCCAAATGCTGATGGTAGGCCAGGCTTGTCAATAGGGATGGGCTAAGTCGATGCTGGACGCTGAGAGCGAAAAGAATCGTTCGAAAGGTAGGCGTGGGCATGCGCAACCGTTCATTGACGTCAGCCTCCGCATGCAGGAGAGTCGTAAGGATAGTCTCAGACACGTTGTACCACATGAGCGCCTGATGAAGCTGAAACTGTAGATTCAGCTTGGGCTTGTGTCTCAGTAGCTCTTCCACAACATCTCCAGCTCCGGAACCAACTGCAATCGACAAGGGGTCCATCCCAGGAAACATCCTCTTTTTAAGATCTGAACCAGCGGCACAAAGAATACGGACCGCCTCTACGTTGTTTGAATGACAGGCCCAGTGTAAAGCGCTTGAATAATGATCATCAATCGCATGCACATTGGCCCTGGCACGTAACAAAACCTTGACAGTCTCATTGCAGCGAAAATGTGCGGCCAAGGAGAGAACCGACTTGTTACTTGTGATGCTCACTTCTGGCTTCTTCTTTTTGACTTTGTCGTTGCAGTCTGCACGCTGCTTGAGTAGCGACTCTACCAGGTAGGCATTTCCTGAGACTGCTGCATAGCAGAGCGGCGTCCATCCAGCCCTATCCTGAGCTGCTGCTAAGGAACTGAATTAAGTTAGCAGTAATGATGTATAGAATACATTACACTCACTGTATATGCATACCCTGGTAGCTATGCTTTAGTTCTGCTACAGCAACCCAGCATCTCGTTCTGCGATTGTCTGGAATCCGTTCTCATGCAGAAACCACTCCACCGTGCAAGCAGCCGGGTCAGTGAACGGATCGCTGCGTGGCGAGAATCCAGATATCAGTCCTTCTGGGGTTGATCTGGGGGCCTGTAGAAATCCAATCTTTAGCGGCTTGATAGGAGTGCAATGGGTCTCAGGGAGCACGAAAGCTAAACGTCATTCTTTAGATCATCCCTGCCTTCGACAGGCATGACGTCAAGCCCCTTGAAGCAACATGCGGTTTGGGTGTTCAAGAGGAAGCGGTAGTTGTGCCAGTCACCCTCCTCCAACAAACTTAGCAGCTTTTTCCAGACCATCTGAACGAGCACCCTGGCGATGCGCGGGCGGTCAGAATCCTCTGTGAAATCTCCGGTGCCAGGTGAATCCAAGAATTTCCGGGCATCAATATGGACGTGCTGGTGGTAACCTTCAGAATGATTTCTCCAGCAGACGAAACGGCAATGTGAATGACGCTGTTTTGCATCAAGACAAATCCCGCTGAAAGGAAATGACAAGTGCTCTCATAATCAAAACCCTAAACACTAAACCCCGTGAAAAAGCCTTCCGTGAGCCGAGCTGGGAACCACTTTCAACCACATAATGGTAATAATATACATACTAGCAATAACCGTAGTAGTAATAACAGGAAAAATAGTAGCAATCGTAATCAAAATAGTAATATAGTCCCGCTTAAGTAGATAGAATATGGCTATGGGTATATTATAATAAGATCCCCATATACCGCACATTCGATCTACTTAATGGGGATTATACATAAAAGCAAAACATAATACGGTTTGGCCAGCCGAAGAACAAACCCTATAAACCCTAAACCCTCAACCCTATCAACCCTAAACCCAAAAACCAACCGAGGAACCGCTCTCAACCACAACTGCGGCGCCATCCTGCCTTGCAGCAAGCTCCCGAGCAAGCCTTTCAGCTCTACACCATCCGCCTAAGCATGCGATGGGTTTAGGGCTTAGGGTTCAGGGTTTATAAGGTGTAGGGTTTATAAGGTTTAGGGTTTGTAAAGATTAGGGTTTATAGGGTTTAGGGTTAAGCATCTGTTTTGGGCTTAGGTTTAGGAGTTTAGGATTTAAGGACTTCAGGGATAAGTTAGACCCGCCTCTGGAAGGGAGCCTTTAAGCTGGGGAAGATCACAAAGGGCTGTATACTCCATGATTAAGAAAACCTATACCCCCAAAAGTAATACCGGTCCCCTAATCAAGATGATTTGAAACAATGTAACTTCCCAGCTTAAAGCCATCTTGGTACTATTCCCTATAAAAACCACCATTTAGGGTGAGCTCGGGTGAGGTCGCTTTAAATTGCCCAGCCTAATCTAATCTAAACAGCCCACCGCTCGAATGTCAAATAATATTCCCAATCTAGTACAAATAGTATACCACAATGGGGATATTTGAGGGGCTTTATATTAAGGGAGGGGATTATAAAGGATAGCCTGATCCCTAAACCCTAAACCCTAAACAGTCGTTTCCATTTTCTTTGCCATTATCCCTACATAAGCCTGTACTACCCCATACTATCCCAATAATCCAGGCAAGGGGTCGCTCTGCCCAGGCATGCTGACCAAGCACACGCTTCTGATCAACGTGCATCAGAGCCTATAGGATCCCGAGTAGCAGCCAAAAATAAAGCGAGGTCGGGGGTGTTGGGTCTAGGAAATCCTGTAGGGTTTTGGGTTTAAGGTTTAGGGGCTTAGGCGTTTTTAGGGTTTAGGGGTGTAGGGTTCAGGGAATTAGTTGGTTAAGCTCATTTAAGGAATCGCGGATGCCTTTTTGCAATACGTGCACTTCTTCAATGATTCAAGGACCCTCAACAAAAATAGGAAAAGGACGGACTGGGGCACCGAGGAGCTGGACAAAGTACAACGAAGTACTTGCACCGGCAGACGTAAGATACAATTGAATCAATAGCCTCTTGCCGCTTTGCCTGGCATGTTGTTGGGGGGTACTATCCAGCATGCTCATCTGTATGCCACTTGGAGGGGCGTGGGGGCTTAGCATGTATACAGGTACAACCAGCATAAGTCATTTAGTAACCCCAGTTGCTCCCCATCAATAACCTACTTACTAATCCGTGCAGTTGGTTAGTGAAACCCCCTAGCTTTGAAGCAAACTTGTTGGTCAAAATTTGGGGCCTGACATAACTTGAAAGCCAGAGACAGTTTTGAGCAAAAAAAACTCCTACCCTAAACTCTAAACCCAAAATCTAGATTTGAAGAGAAAGATTCCCAGACCCTAAAAAGTCAGCAAGGTTTAGGTTTCAGGTTTAGTTTCAGATTCGATGGCTCCAAAAGCAAAGCCTAAGTTTTCAAGCTTCCAATCCCCCAAAGAGAGCTGATTCTGAGACCTAATTTTCTTTTAAAACTCATTAGGAATTAAAGGCTCACACTTTGCTCCCCCATTCAAACTGATTATAGTCCCCCTTAAGTAGATAGAATATGGGGTATATGGGGACCTTATTATAGTATACCCAAAGCCATATTCTATCTACTTAAGGGGGACTATAAAATTAATTAATCAAAAAATGCTGTAAGATATAGTTCGCATGGTCTGTTATCCCTGGAATAATGGGTCGAGGTCAGCATTGTAGGGGTGGATTTTTGCAAATCAAGAGGCAGGGTCTAAGGGTTAAGAGTTTAGGGTTGTAGAGTACGGATTAAGTCCCCTGACGCTCCCGGTATTTTGGGTCAAGCACAAGAAAACTGTCAGGCGCTGCTTAAAGTACAACCCAGCTGCACTGCTATCTGCACCTTGTGGGCAGGAGAAGTAGTCATACCAAATGTACACCGATGGGCCAGCAAAGTCCTCAGCACTAGGCACAGGCAAACGGCCGAAGAGGATCTCGGTAACCACTGGGATATTGATATGGCTTGCTCCTGACCGGATGTTGGCCAGTGCAGCCTGCAAAACCTGAATCTGGGCAGCTTGAAGATGAATTTATGAAGCTCCTATGTGATACGATGCTAGTATGCTGTTTGCCTCACAGCATGTCTTACTGGGGGTTCTAGGGGAATGAGGGACCATATAATATAAGGATTCTATAGGGATTATATTCCCTACTCATCCCCAGTAAGATGTATGGGATCACGCACCGTGTTTTTTTTGCAACTTAAACCCTAAACCCTGCGCGCCTTCAGCTGCTCGTCATTGGGATCTGGATGGTTGCTAGCCATCCACTGATGCGACACAAACATTGCATTTCCAATGCTTTCCTGCAAGCACGTCAGAAACTGCTCAGTGATACCATCCGTATAGCCATTCATAGACATTTCCCCCAATCTCCCTTTCATCCCATCATGCACCCAAAGTGTCGAAAGCAAAGCCCACGCAAACCCTTAAACTCTTACACCGTAAATCCTAAAATCCAAACTCTAAACCCCTCAATCCTAAATCTTAAGCTAAAATCCCTAAATCCTAAACCCTAAATTGCCCTAAATCCTGAACCCTAAACCGCACAGCACTCGAGCTTCCTTCAGGCCTCACAAAGGCCCAGGCAGGATATACGTAGACCCCGCCATACTTATGTCTTAGGGTTTGGGATCTAGGGTTTAAGGCTTACGTTTTAGGGTTTGTTATATGGTGCTTTCCATGAATGGGGCACCCCGATATAGGGCAGAGAATACTAAAATCCGTATTATGGGCTAAACGCCCATTGGACCCTCGGTGCTTTGTTTGAAGACAACACTCTGAACCACCGACCCCAACATGGTCAAATTTGCAAAGCTTCCTGACGCCTGTCCTGAAACTCAGTAAGCTGACCCGAAGACAAAAGGTCTTCATGGGATGTGATCTTCTTCATCTGCAGCAGGACGTCTATGGAAACCTAGGCGCTGCGGCACCCACTTACCCAGACCCTCACACGTAGACCCATGATTAGTAAACCCCCTCTTTTCAGGGGCTAGGATCCCTATTGTAATCCCTATTAAGGGGTGAAGGCTTATTAATCAGGGTCTAAATCAGGGATGCTAGAGTCAATTTGAAAAGCTCATTGCTTTGGGTAGAAGATCCTAGGTAGGCCAACAAACACTGTTTTGAGTTTTTGCAGTACAGAATGGGGTAATTGCCGAAGAACTTGAGCGGCGGCAACCACAGCTTTCCACGTTCTGCGATAGCTTGATTTGGGAGTTTGGCAGAGAACTGTTTGTTGAAACAAAATTGCAAGAAAGATTATGTTCCTGCTGGATAGAAGTCAAGACCGAGTACTTAACCCTAAACGCTAAACCCCGTGGTCTGCAATAGAAAGAGGCTCCATTTGGTTTGGCCTTAGTTCTATGGCTGGGGGTCTTGGGACTGGGACTCCCCTGTTTGCAAAATGGGCCTTGCCTTCAACTGGGTTGCTGTTAAGGACCTTAAACTAAGTTACCATCATCCGGGCATGTCGAAGATGATAGGGTTTCCTAATTATAGTAGCCTAATTTTAAGTTCCTGAACAGCAGCCCAGTAAGATGTTCCTCGTTGCGAATCGGTTTGCTTAGCGGCTTGAAGCAGACCCTCCAATGGAGCCACATCCGAGAAACAACAAATTTACACGTGCGGGACCTTGGATTGATTTAGCGTTCGGGGTTTCGGGTTTAGGGAGGGTGTGCTATAGGAGATTCGGAAGCATGTCCCTAGGGATTCAAGTAGGTCCATGGAGGTAATATAATTTACAGACTTTCGGCCCCAGCGTAGATATGATTGGTATACCTTGATCCCTAGGGTGTGGCTTCGAGCCTTGGAATCCCAAGCATGGACGCGCAAAAGAAGCTAGAGGTGAAAGTCCAGAGCCCATGCTTGATTTTCATACGGATTATTATAGGATATATGTCGGGATTATATTGGGGGGGATATACGGGTGGTTGTCAAAATGATCCCTCTTTGGGTACCCTAAATATTAGGTGCCGTATTATACTAGGGAACCAAAAAGGGACCATCATTTTGACCATGTTGGGATCTCTTGAAACATTGCATGTGACAGGCAAGCTTATCATCCACAGGGCACCTGCTCACAAAGTTGACCACACCAATTCTTCGAACTTATCTGGTAGTTTGTGGCATGGGCTTGTATATATCAGGGAAAGGGACGTGCTCGTTGAAAGAGGAGGTCATACTCGAGTAGTAGGCTTACATTTTGTTGTGGACCCGTCCGCAACTACAACATTTCCTCGCAATAAGTACTCCGACCCAAATCCCTAAACCCTAAACTCATGGCATAGGCCGCCCACCCTCGATGGCGCAGGTCGATCCAGGACGCTCGCCTGCCTTCCCACAGCCAGGGGTACTGTAGCACCCACGAGAGGCCAGGTAGCTGGAAGAGTTCTCCTCGGGACCAGTCCTGGTCCCGTATCAATTCGTTACCCTAAACCCTGTAGTCGAAGTTTTGGCGGTGGGCCCTGAGGCCCTGACAGGCCCTTGGAGGCCCTGGAACCCCTGGCTCTGCAAGGTCTTGGGAAGGTTGAAAGGCCTTGGGAGGACCGCCTGTTTTGGAAGGGTTGAAAAATTGTTCCCTTTTGCCAGGGCTGCTGGTCCCGAAATTCGCTCGCAGAGGACCAGAGTGGAAAAACCCAGCTCCCAGAACCTGTCACGCCTGCCAACACCTCCCAGCTTGCCAGCGGCCTGCGCCAGCTTGCCCTCCCACACAAGGCCCTTTCAAGGGCCTCTGCAGGCCAGATTCATTTCGGAGCCTGACGGACAAAGTGTCGATGCCCAGCCTTGAAAATCCTGAGATGAAGTAATTCTGTTTCTGAAAATTCCTGACATGAAGTAATTATGTTTCTGAATAATGTTCATGACCAAGATGGACCTAACTGAGTTTAGGTCCTAACCCCCAAAAAGTATAGGTTTGGGTGGTTTGCCGCCTGGACGGCATGGGGTGGGTGAGTGTGAGATGGCCCTCCAAAGTCGGGCCATGGCTGCGAATCGCAAGCAACAGAACAGCTAACGAGTCTTGCAATCTATGAATCACTGCCGCTACGCAACATTGCCGCAAACCCTAAACCCTAAACCCAAATCCTTAAACCCTAAACCCAAATCCCTAAACCCTACACTCTATGTTGGGGTCTATCTGAAATGCTTTGCTCACCTTGGGCACTGCTGCCAGGAAACCGTATACATCGGAAACAGACATTTGTCCGGCGCCCGCAAGTGCTCACCTGAAGTTTAGGGTTTAGGGTTTACGGCTTCGGGCTTGGGGTTTATGGTTTAGGGTACTTGTCTGGCATGCGGGCCTCTCAACCTCCCCGCCACTCCTCTGACACATTCAGCTACTAGCACGAAAGTTGGATCCCTTTAGAAGGCTTGAGGCGTGCCTGAACACGCCAACACGTGGGCTTGTTGGGTTCTAGCTGCTCCTTCATCGACTGCACTCATTTGTTCGTGGAAAGGATGTCCTTCGTGAGCACGGTCGGGAACCCAAAAAGTTCGTTTCTTACTGGGTGTTGGTAACGGTTGGTCGGGCATAAGGGACAACGCTATGTACAAATTATGTGGGATTATATTCCGTTGTTCCTACTAAGCACCCGTAAGTTTCGCAATTGTTTTCTCTTGACACACTGCGAACTGGTCTTGTGGAAGGGCCTGCAGATCGTTGGCATCATGTTACAGTGGGGGTCTGGCCAAGGCGGCAACAAAGTCTGAGGGCAACTTCAAACGCCGGCCATAAGAGAAGCAGCGCATAGTTTCATGAAAACAATCCTTCAAACATTCCCCACTATGGAGAAATGAGAGACTGTAGGTGTGGCCTAAAGGCGGCTTAGGCGTTGGCCTCTGCAACACCTCTACTTTCATGAAATCCCCAATGACCATTATTACCATGATTGCATCTGTTACCATTATTATCATCATTGTTTACGATTATTAATACTATTTTCAGTATTGCTATGACTATTAATATTACTAAACCAAAAGGCAGCTGGAGGATTCAACAAGCATCTTCATACAAGTCAACCGGTCCTGCCCACCCAAAGCTTGCAGACCTATCGCTCAGCTCGACGCCTTTTCAAATAGTGTACAACCATCCCCCTGTAACAACCGACTGTAGAATTCAATGTCGGGAAGCCTTGCAAATGCGATTCCACCCACGCATGGTCCATGACGCTTGGATTGCTGCAATGAGTTGCTTCACTGCTACACTGCTTCTCTTGGAGGTTTGGCCGCTGCTTAGCCTGAGGAACCTGCCACGGAATCCTGGATGTTCCAATGAAAGTATATATGATAATTTCCCAAAATAAGGGGACCCCAATATAGACCCCAAAATACTATAGTCCTTATTATGGGTACCCCCAAAAGGGTACCCCTAATTTTGGGAAACCCCCACATGGCTAGAGCAGGAGCAGCTGCAACCGCAACCAATCCAGTGAACGCAGGCCAAGTCGAGCCAAGAACGTTCGTGTCCAATTTCAATGCAAGCTTCTTCTTCCAAAGCATGCCCACATCCAAGCAACAACTTCCCATACCAGGACCCTCCTTGTACCCTTAATTGGGGGTATATGGTCCCTAATAGTGGGTACTTAGGCCCTGATAGAGGGCAGGAGGAGGGTCTAGGTACATGGTATTCGCAAACCTGACATGCACACGGCTGATACTGAGAATGGAGCCCAAATGTCCAGAAATCCCTTTTGCCACAGAATCTTCAAAGCGCCTCCCCCCCTCACAAAAACATGCAGCTGAAGCAATGTATGTAATAGGGCCGGCAGCGTACAAACAATTAAATCCCCTCCGTCTAACGTTAAACCCCCACCCCTCTTCATATTAAATGTTCCCAAGAGATTTCAAATATACCACTTTGGGAATTTTGGTACAAATATAAGCCCCCTTGGGTAGATAGAATCTGGTTTGGGTATCTTATAACAAGATCCC